ATAGAAAGGGAGTGGACTGACAATTCTTGAGGGGAAGGAGGTGTGGGGGGTGCGGGAAGAGACTGGACAAAAATCTTATACCTATGGATGAGGAGAGTGGTGGGGGTAAGGGCATGGGGTGGGGTGGGAACCAGGTGGAGGGGAGCTATGGGGGGAAAAAAAGAGGAACATCTGTAATAATCTGATCAATAAAGATTTATTAATTAAAAAAAGAAAAAGAAAAATCAAAAGAAAAAGAAAAAGAAAAAGTCTGAAAGAATATACCAAAAACCATGAGGTGACTATTTCAAGTTACCTATTATTTAAATTTTTACAGAATGTCTACCTTCTCTTGGGTAATTATGAGAATCTATGATTTGGGGATGTGGGATCTATCTATCTATCGATTGATCTATCTATTATCTATCTATCTATCATCATCATCTATCTATCTATCATCTCTTAGATTCTGTAAAGCTGTGCCTGCTCAGGCTCAGGGGAAGGGAGAATGTATACATGTATGGATATGTGTGTTATTTTTGTGTTCCTCCAAAACACTCTTCAAAATAGGCAATTTTCCCATTTTAGCAAAGAGAAAACAGAGGTTTATGTGCTTCCCTAATATCACAAACAACAGAAGGAGTTTTACACAGGCTCCAGGGGAAATATATAAAGGTGTTCCTCTGTCACCCTTCTGTCTGCACAAACCTCCACAAGAAAATGTTGGTGGTGGCATGGTGGGACAGGAGGATGGAAGGCATGGCAGCAAGGGAAAGGCAGAATAAAGAGGCTGTGTCTTTTTTCCAAAGAGCATGTGGAATGTCAGCTAAAATAGCCCCTCTATTTTCATTTTGCCCAGTTTCTCTGATTTCCCTTTCCTCTTCTTGCTGCTTCCTTTTCTTGATTCTCCCACTTTTTTTTTCTTACTCTGCCTCCCAACAAATGAAGTGAGAAGATGAAGAGAGATGTAAAAATTAGCAAACCTTTCAGTTGTTTTCTATGTTTTGCAAATGTAACCATAAGATGTTCTTGTTTGATTTGATTTGTTTTTATTTTGTTTCTGATCACAAGCCATTGAAAGTCCTGGGCAATGCAATTTTGAGTATTTGGTACTCTGCCTCCTTTAGGAGCACAATCATGTCCATAAACTCTATAACTAAGCTCTTGGTCACAGATACCATTTTAGAAATAAATGGCAATTGTTGAGTTTTTTAATTACATATCGAGTTACTCATTAATTTGTTATTTTTATTTTGTTATTTTATTATTGTCATCTTTCTCAAAAGTGGTAAGTGAAATAAATAACAAGAGTGTATATTTTGTTTTAAATTATAATCTTGTTTTTAATGAATCATAAAAGGATCTTTATTAACAAATATAAAAGAGTCCTGGCCAGTGTGCTCAGTTGGTTGAAGTACTGTCCCATACAGCAAAAGGCAGTGGGTGTGATTCTCGGTCAGGGCACATGCCCAGGTTGCAGACTGGATCCCTAGTAGAAGGTGTGCAGGAAGCAGTTGATCAATGGTTCTCTCTCATCAATGTTTCTATTTCTCTCTCCCTCTCCCTTTCTCTCTGAAATCAATAAAAAATATATTTTAAATATATGAAGTACTTAGAAATGCATTTAATGTAATTTGGGCAACACTTATTTCCTGAAAACTGTTCACTGAGAAAAAGTAATGGAAACCAAAATAACTGTGATATGTAAGAATACCTATATTAATCAACAGGGGAATCTCAATATTAAGATACCACTTCTTCCCATATTGATCTACAGATTCAATAGAATCTTCATCAAATTGCTAAACATTGACAATACAAACAGCCAATAGCCATATGAAAGATGTTCACCCTCACTGGCAACTAGGGAAGTGCAAATCAAAACTACAATGAGATACCACCAACCACCTGTTTGAGTGGCCATTATCAGCAAGACAAGCATTAACAAGTGTTGGAGAGGTTGTGGGAAAAGGGGAGTGTAGGCTGGTATAACCACTATGGAAAGCAGTCTGGCAATTCCTCAAAAAATTAAGAATAGAGTCGTCATATGACCCAGCATTCCCTCTCTTGGGTATATACCAAAAAAAAACTCT